GAGGATGGGGAGGCGAGGGCGGAAGAAGAGAGGGGGGAGAGGGGGAGAGGGAGGAGTGGGAGGGGGAGGAGGAGGAGGAGGAGGAGGAGGAGGAGGAGGAGGAGGAGGAGGAGGAGGAGGAGGAGGAGGAGGAGGAGCAGGAGGAGGACTGATTGACCACGATGGAAACCACCGCAACCGCAAGTTCTCAAAAAGATTCCAGGACGGTCGCAATCCCAAATTTACATGGCAGCGTTTCGCACTTGCACTCACGGTTCACTCTGCACTGCGCGCAGCGCATGCAATTACACGCGCCTTCGCCTTGCAAACATCACCCCAGGAACCATCTTAATAACACCAAAGGTGACCTGTGGGACCTGCGGGACCTGTGGAACCTGCCGGAATTGGGAGAAATGTTGGGAGCGTGAGCCCTGTGGAACTTGTGGGAGCTGTGCGGGCTGCGGTAGCTGTGGGACCTGAGGGACCTGCGAGACCTGTGGGACCCTTGGGACCTGTGGGACGCGTGGGCCTGGTGGGACCTGTGGGGCCTTCGAAATTGCAAAACTTGTCGTCCCTGCGAGACCTGTGGGACCTGTGGGACCTGCGGGGCTTGCGCCACCTGCGACACCTGCCTGACCTGTCGGACCTGTAGGACCTGAGGGACTCGTAGGACCTGTGGGACCTGCAGGACCTGCGATACCAGTGGGACCTGTGGCGCCTGTGGCACCTGTAGGCCCCGTGGGACCTGCGGAACTTGCGGGGCCTGCGGGACCGGCGCGACATGTGGGACCTGTGGGACCTGTGGGACCGGAGGGGCTGGGTGGACCTGTGGGGCCTGTGGGACCTGTAGGGCCTGAGGGGCCTGTGGGGCATGCGTCGCCTGTGGGACGTGTGGGACATGCGGGACCTGCGCGACCTGCGAAACCTGTGGGACCTGCGGGTCCTGCGGAACCTGCGGGACCTGCGGACCCCGTGGCCCTTGTAGGACCTGTAAGCCCTATCGGGCCTGTGGGACCTGTGGGGCCTTCGGGGCATGTGGGACCTGGGGGGACTGGGACTTGCGGGGCCTGCGGGACTTGCCAGACCTACGAGGCCTGCGGGGCTTGCGGGACTTGTAGGACCTGTGGGACATGTGGGGCATGTGGGACTTGTGGGACATGTGGGATATGCTGGGCCTGCGGGATTTGTGGGACCTGCGCGACCTGCGGGACTTGTGGGACTCGTGGGACCTGTGCTGGCGGCGGGACCTGTCGGACCTGCGGGACCTGTGGGACCCGGGGGGCCTGTGGGACCTGTGGGACCTGAGGGACCTGGGAGACCTGCGGAACCTGTGGGACCTGTGAGAGCTGCGGGACCTGCGGGACATGTGCGACCGGTGGACCTGCGAGAACCTGTGAAACCTGTGGGGTCATTCATACCTGTGGGACCTGTGGCACCTGCGGACCTGCGGGACCTGCGGGTCCTGTGGGACCTGTTGGACCTATGGGTCCTCTGGGACCTACGGGACCTGTGGGAATTGCGGGACATGCGGGACCTGCGAGACCTTTAAAACCTGTAAGACCCGTGGGGCCTGCGGAACCTGTGGGACGTGCGGGACCTGCATGTGGGACCTGTGGGACCTGCGGGGCCTGCGGGGCCTATGGAGTATGCGGGACTGGCGGGTCCTGCGCGACCTGCGAGACCTGTGGGAAATACGGACCCTGTGGATCCTGTGGGGCCTGCGGGACCTGTGGGGCTTGTGGGACCTGTAGGACCTGTGGGACCTGTGGGACCCAGTGGGACCTGCGGGACCTGCGGGGCCTGCGGGGCCTGCAGGACCTGCGAGACCTGCGCGACACGCGGGACCTGCGGAACCTGCGGAACCTATGGGACATGTGAAACATGTGGGACCTGTGGGGCCTGTTGGACCTGTGGGGCCCGCGAGGCCTGTGGGACCCTTGGGACCTGTGGGACGCGTGGGACCTGTAGGACCTGCGAGACCTGTGGGACCTGCACCTTCTTTGCGACTTGTGGGTCCTGTGGGACCTGTAAGACCTGTAGGACCTGTGGGACCTGTGGGACCTGCGGGACCTGTGACACCTGCAAGACCTTGGGACCGGTGGGATCTGTTGGGCCTGAGGGACCTGTGGGACCTGTGGGACCTGCGGGACCTGCGGGACCTCCGGGACCTGTGGCACCTGTGGCACCTGTGCGGCCTGTGGGACCTGCGGGACCTGCGGGACCTGCGGGACCGGCGAGACCTTCGAGACCTGCGGGACCCGTGGGACCTATGGGACCTGTGGGACATCTGGGACACGTGGGACCTGTGGAACCTGTGGGACCTGTGACCGCCGAGGACCCAAGTAAGGCCCTGAATTCTGGGACCGCCAGGCACCCAAGTAAGGACCTTACTTGGGACCCCGGGAACTCCTTATTAAAATTTGGTGGATCGACAGATGTCTCGCACTTTGGGACCATCGAGGCCCCCCGGGGGGCATTTATTAAGGAACCAGAGGTTTCCTTACGTCCACCATGTTTTCTTGGAGCGGAAAAACCCAAAGTTCAAACGTCCCGGCGTGGCCGTCGGAGGCCCCCAACCAGCCACCCAGCTTGGAAACGCGCGGCAAATGTTTCGCCGAGGCTGAACGCGAGTCTGCTGCCGTCGCCACCGTAGCTGCACTGCATCCGGTGATCCACTGGCCTCAGGGCCCCGAAGAGTAAGCCTCCTAGCGGTGTCCTGACGACCTCCTGGAATCTGGGGGGAGACCGCCGGGGGACCTCCCCTGGTCCTCTTGGGGGCCTCCCGCAAACTTCCAGAAGGGGGCTGGGAAGTCGCCCAGAAGTTTTTTCTGGTCCTTGCAAGCTTGCTGGGAATCCTCCCCGAGGACCAGGGTCCGGGAACCTCCCCCAGACCTCCAAATCTGGCAGGGTTCCCTCCAAGGGGAAACTTCCGGGGAGACCAGGGGAGGCCCCCTGGAAACCTCCCCTGGTCCTCCCGGGCCGCTGGGGGGAAACTTGGTGGAGGACCAGGTGAGGTCTCCTGGAAGCTTCCCCTGGTCCTCCCGAAAGCCTCCCACAGGAGACCTCCCCCCTGCGGGAACTCTCATCGGAGGTTTCCAGGTGAACCAGGGGAAGCCTCCCAGAGACCTCCCCTGGTCGTCCCGGAAGCCTGGGGGAGGCCTCGCCTGGTGCTCCCAGGGGCCGTCGGAAGCCTCAGGCCACACCTTGTGGAAACCAAGGGAAGCCTCCGGAAGGCCTCCCCAAGCCATCGGGGGGATCAGGGAGAGGTCTCCAGGAGAACCAGAGGAAGTCTGGTGGAGGCCCCCTCCACCTCGCCGGAGAGGGGGCCCGCTGGGAGGTCTGGTCGACGTGGAAGGGGGGCATCCCACCAGACCTGTTGGAGGTGGAGGGGAGGTCTGGTACCAGACCTAGTGAGGTTGGGGGTAACTGAAGACCAACCCAGGCAAAGCAAGAAAACCAGCATGGAGGCGAACGCGGCCCAAGACGGCACCAAGATACCCCCCAGGCAACTCACGACGGCCCAAGAGGGCCCCTAATGTCCCAGGTAGCCCCATATACGACTCAAGAGTGTCCCAGGAGGCCCCCATGACAACCCGACAGTAACCCATGACATACCACATGTTGTCCATGTGTGCCACGTGAGAACCCCAGGAGACGCAATAATGAAACAAGGAGAACGAAATGGAAGAAGGGAGGGTGACAACATGGGGGACGTGGGAAGGGGGAGGGCGACGACGTAGACGAAGGAGTGCGCCCCGCAGCGGCGCGGAAGAGCGCGTCACAAGTTGCGGCCCTTGCAAGGCTATGGGCGACGACATGTCGCGCGTTATGGCTTTCGTGGCGGTGCTCGAAGACTCGCCACGCCGAGCGCTGCGCGGTCGCGGTGCGCGGGACTT